TACTTCAGACGATGTAAAGATAAACCCAATGGCCCTACCGCAGCGCCTGCAGTTTATGTTATTAAATAAACTATTTTGCTACGATCTTTTCTTTGTTATAAATAGATATGTAGTAAAGGCATAAGATTAAAGAATGTTACGGAAAGAGAAAATAAAAATTTTGGGATTCCCCCAATTTTTTGTGATTCCTGATATTTTGTTTGTTCTTGATATTCAGTAATAAACCAATGTTTGTGCTTGTAAAAACAAGTAATTTGCAAAGCCATTACGGTATTTGCGAACTGCTGGACTTCTATTCCTCTTGCGCTGTGACCGAAATTATGTAACTACACAAACGTACACTAGTTTAATTTTACAAAAATAAGAAAAAAGTCATTATTACATCGCCGCTGGGATTCAGATCCACGACCTCCGACAAACAAGTCCTACAACCCAATATGTGGGCTATCACTCATTTAACCTTAAAAAAATTAAATATTATATTTGTGAACACTATTTATATTTTAATTACTGACGTTACTTATACTTCACTTGATATTTTTTTATTATAACCTATGCACTGATACTAAAGGTATTTTCAATAAGTTCAAACGAGACTTTTCGAACAAGTCAAGTAAAGTGTACAATAAACAAATTTGCTGTCAATTCCCGTTGTTAAATCTAAAGCGTAACTAGGTGTGATAACTTATCTATGTCTATTGTCGGTCACTTGCTGATTGTTATTTAAGTATTAAGATTCAGAGAAACCCTGCGGTTTTAGCCCATGTTTCAAGATTAACTGTATCTAGAGTGGAATTTATTTTGTCCTAGGGCAAAGTTGCGACCGAAATTAGTTTTGCTCAAGTAGCTTAAGGACAAAATACTTGATTTCCCATTATATTTCTTCAGACAACAGTTTCGTAATTTAATAATAAAATTAATCGTCAATTCATTGAGTTAAAGATTACAGAGTGGGAAGCGTAATTAAATGTCTCGAGTAAGAATATTTCGCTCATAATACATTTAAATCACTAGAAAAAATATTGTAAAGCCAAATCCATTTGCCTTCTTTAGACTTCAACGCATCACTTCCTTGCTACGAACGTGTAGGTCCCATGTTTAAAAATCAATATTTCTATTGTTCTTGACTTCCGCTTCTATATTTCTACAATTTAAAGTAAAATGGAATTTAAACCTTCCTTTGGACTTCATTCAATTATCTGCAATCTCATCGTTTAGTCTAATAATTACGTTGCAACGTTCAAATGACGTTTCCGACGACTAAAGCGTTCATTACAGTTGTCGACAGAACACCGCCCGGGGCTTGGCGTTAATTTTATGACGCGTTGCTGCAATAATTCATTACTTTATTTCAACGTCTATAATTGTAAAAATCAACAGGGAACATAAATCGATTAGCTAAAATCGGATAGCATTTACCCTTTTAATAAAAACCATACTCTACCTAGCTTTACATCTAAATTATTTCACAGGTATGTTTGTAGAAAATTACTGAATACTAGGATTTGAATATAAATATGTTACTTATTTGTGTCCAAAAGTTGCATTTTGCTTTGTAGTAACAATGCTGAATTATCTTATATTAATCGTATATAATTAACAATTTTAGTAGTAGGAGCTGCGTGAACCTAGTGGCCCGTAACGTTACGTACATACCTTGCAGTTATAATAATGCATTGTTACTACTGCTGGTGCTATCGTTCATAAGAGTTGGCAATCACCACCAGGGGAGCTTCTTGCCATTTGGCACTAAGTAAAAAAAAACTTAATTGGTACAAAATTGAACTGACATCTTCGCACTACGCTGACCACCTACATGGACATCGGATGGGCTTTATTGCGTACTACAAACATTGCAGCAAACCATAATAAACATCGTATAATACGGACAGCTTAATAATTTCCCGCAAGAATTTTGTACGTCGCCCCCCACAGACTACACGTGGGCGGTAGAGCCGCACGCGCTCTACCTAGCGCTTTGGGCTCGCGACAGGTGGGAGGGGCGTTATGACGTACTGTGACGTCACTTATAGGGCTGCCAGGAATATGATTGATTACTTAATATACATAAATCACGTAAAACCAATATAATATAAACACAAATCTTTACAATATGTTGTTTAATTTGAAAATATTATCATAAGTCGTGTTAGCCCAGGCTCGTAGCACTTCTGTTATTTATTTAATCTAAAATCAAACTGGCTCTGACAACATTATTGTGTTATAATCTTAGTAAGAACCAAGTTCTAAGACTTTAAGCGAAAACATGAAACAACAAAAACATAATATTCTGTAAAATGAAAAATTTTAGCCAGCAGTGGGACATAAATTCCAAAATGGCAACTTCAACAATTGCAAAACTTTCGTATTACATACATGAAAATATGTAAAGCATTGAAGTGTCAGCCCTAAGTAAAATGCGCCCAGAAAGCTTTCCCGAGGTTTACTCTAGAATTAAGATTTAATTGAAGTTAATAAAGTCGACCGGGGGTAATTGAAATTTTGTTTATATAGGAAATTGTATAAAGCTTACAATGTTACGAACCCAGCCCAGCCTAAGTACAAACTGGTAATGCGCTTGATAATTATACCTAATTTCGATTCCATTTCAAATCACTGCCTCATGACAGAGAAAATTAGCGTAATTCAAGACATTTTCCAAAGAGACTTAATAACTGAGAAGATTATAGGTCTACAACAAAATAAGGTTACCCGGTTAGGAACCAAATATTCATAACTATGGTATAGCAATAATGTCGGTGACATCAATATTGCACGAATATCGCTTTAAACATTCAACCTGTCTGTGATTTCTAAATGTTTTTAGAATTTTTCCGACCCTATGTTTGGCTCGAAAGGCCTCCAAAACGGCTGAACGGATTTCGAAAGAAAATTTTAAAACAAGAATTTTAGCTAAAATTTTTGTAAATGTTACATTTGAATATCTTGCAGGGTACATAAAATATGAATGTAGTTATTTATAGTTATACGAAGGCATAAGCTTGATGAAGACCAAATTCAATCCAATACAACTATAATACAGATATGTAATTAATTGTATGTTCTATAGTATTAGGATCTGTCGATATTTCATAAAGAATCTTTCATCATTTCTAAAATTAGACTACACTGTAAAAACATTCCCACTTTGTATCATATATTCGTCTCAGGCCGTATGCCTGCACTGAATATATTCTCGTAATAAATCTGTTGCTCACATTTATTTTTTGACTATAGTAGATTAAAAATAAAAGATGAACGCTTAGGCTTTAAAATGTTCATATTAATAAATGCTTATTCATTGATTGAAAAAACAAAATTTATACAAAATTTATCTAAAACTCTAAGATAATAATTTTACTTAAAAATACGGAGAAAAAAAACCAAAACAATGATCCCCTAATATCTCCCGAATATATCGTTTCGCCGTCAAACCTCCAGTCTACCGCTAGTGAAAACCTGTTGAGACGGCGAAGCCGGCCTTGCTCTTCCTTACCGATACGCAGATATCTTCTCCAGCTGACACCTCATTCCTATCCTACCCGAGGTACAAACTGGAACATTCCTTTGTGCCGTGAGCTGGATTCCGTCGATCCTCCCCTCGGCTCGTCGGCGGACCACTGTCGTGTCCGGAGTACAATGCCAATAACGCGCTTAAAACATTCTCATTTTGCGGGCTGTCGCCGCGTATGGCATTATAGGTCAGCAGATTGGGATGGAATGCGGTCATTCTTTGCGTCCTACCCATGGGGCAGATTTGCTTCTCGCCGGATGATCCAGAAGTCGTTGCTGAGTCAATGAATGATGTGGTGCTTCAGGGTATGGAACTCTTTATTCCGTTCTCTGCAGTGCCCATTGGTGGTAAATCGCAGCCTTAGTTTGGTCGCTCCTGTAAAAGGACATTACGCCGAAAGTAGGAATGCTACCAGGCTTGGGCTGATGCTTCAACGTCAAATGATGTAAAAACCAGCGCTTTAAATACCAGGTTGCGCGTTAACCGCTAAAAAGTCCCCATTTGTCGTGACTCCTCATTTTGAGAACACTCCCCTATCTGCCACAGCTAGTATCGGAATACTTGGCGTCGAAATCTCGAGCAATGTCCAGTTCCGCGGTCAGTTGAAAGTAAGGCCAAATTGGCCTCAAAGAAGCTCGGTGTGCTCAGCAAGGCGAGACAGTACTTCACGTCGGCTCAACGCCTAAACCTTTATGAGGCGCAAATTCAGCCCCACATGGAGTACTGTTCTCACCTCTGGGCGGGAGCCCCCTATTACCAGCTTCTTCCATTTGACCGCATCCAACGTAGGGCAGTTAAGGCTATCGACGATCAAAGTCTTTCCGATCGGCTTGATCCTTTGGCTCTGCGTAGAGATGTTGGATGACTGCATCTTCTACCGCATCTATCACGGGAAGTGTTCCGAGGAATTGTTTGGATTGATCCCGGCGGCTGAATTTCACCATCGGACATCGCGCCAAAACCGAAAATTTCATCCACACCACCGCGATGTCCAGCGTTCCACAACAGCGCGATTTTCAAGGCAATTCCTGCCTTGCACAACCAAATACCGTCGGAGGATCTCAATTCGACTGTTTCTTTATGTTTGTTACCTCAGAGCTTTCCACTGACTGAACCCATTTTGATGATTCTTTTTTTATTTGAAAGCCGATGCTTCTCATGTGGTTCCATATTAATTTCATTGGTATTGGATCTTGGGCTCCGGAGATACGGAGATATGATAAGGTAACTCCTGAAAATCAGTTATAAAATGAATACAGAGCGAGATATTTGAAGTGGTTTTGTTTTCCGGTAATAAAAAAAATTACTTGTATTATATTTCAAAAGTTTCTTAACACTATTCTCTGGAAAAATTTCGGGTACACCAAAATTGATAATCCAAACAAACATCAAATCGGAAAAGATAAAGTTTGTACGCTAGACTAATTTCAATTAGATCATATCGGATAGAGATAGTTCAGACCTAAATCTTAGCTTATTTTCACAGGAGGATCTGCTGATTCACGGTGACAGCGTGTACGACGTGATAGACAAACAGGATCATCAGGCAGTCAGGTCCGAATTATCGCGAGCGCCCTCTGACGGCGAAGACAGGGTGTTCCTCTGTAGGATGAACGTCGCGAGGAATGCCAGGCGGCAAATGAGGTTCGGCGATCAAAAGGTTAGTGACCTTCCCTAATTCGACCACAGCGGGTATAACCTACTGACACTTCATTGGACGTTAATACATTTATAAAACCTTATACCAATCGATACTTACTATTTTTTCATATAGTCCTATTACGCATTACCAATATTGTTGCGTAGTTGCTAAGCGATTTAATTTATTATTTTCATTTTAACGGTGGTAGGGCCACGCAGCAGCCTCGGCTGTTGCACAAATGGGGAGGCTCGTCTGGGCAAGTACCACGACCTCACAGAAGATCGGCGTAAAGTGGAAGTATAATACTTTCGCGTTTCGTCTGGTGAGTGAGGTGGCCGGAGCCCAATTTTCAAAAGGTTGTCAACGCATCTGTAACCCTCGGGTGTAGCAGATGTACATGGGCGGCGGTATTCACTAAACATCAGGTGAACCGTCTGCTCGCTTGGCAATTTTTCACATAAAAAAAATTGCTTAAAACATGAGCTAAAGATTCATATGAATTATAAGGACTACTTTGGAACTGAATGATTTATCTACGGGGTGATTTTCCAGCAAACATTGTATATCGGATAACATTCTTTATTATATTTCATAATAATAAGACAGAGCAAACAAATGTAGCCAGAGATAGCAATTAGCAAGATAATCATTAGCTTGTAATGACCGAATTTAGTACAGGGTAACGGCGGGTCTTTATAATTGCAAAACCAAATTAGTGACAACAAATGATTGAACGGTTCGAATGAGATGAAATACTGCTGCTGGCATAAGGCCTTTATTATTGGTATCGGCGCAAATCCTTCAAAAGATACCCGGTGTTTCTAACCCACAAAAGACCCCCGGTAGCCACCTTCTATACGTTTGGAGGGTCTCCGGGACCTCCTACGGAACACATCGGTGTCCCAAGGTACGGTGCGTGAGCAAACCTCGAAGAAGGATAGACCTTCTCCGATCCCTTTGCCATCTGTAGCAGCTCGAGACCACTTCGTGCTGTTGCCAATCCGTGTCCCCGTTTAGTCGCCTTTTACGACAGGGATACCTTAGCCCTATTCTATGAGCCAAAGACTACAGGGCATAAGGCGTATACGATTCGAGTGTCAGGGTCGAATAGGAATGGACGTACTATAACGTAGCACACGAGACCGTAATCCGTACTGACGCAGCCCAATCACGAGCTCACGGTGCGCACGCAATTACGGGCCTCATTAATTGAATACAAAACGAGGAAATGCAACTCGAAAGTTAATTAACGCGGCAAAAACGTTCGACGGGTGATGAGCCGTTGCGTTTAATATACTCACGCCTTCGTATCAAAATTGTAACGTCACTCAAAACGCGAAGCGCGATTGAAATATTACGAACGGAATGGACGAGATGTTTAAGTGTTGGTTAAATAACCGAGTAAGATGTAGAGTTCGTCGGTAGAACGGAAATTGATAGGTGTGCTCTTAAACCGTTATGAACTTTTATATTTATTTTAAAATTAAGCTTACTGATACGAAATTAATGAGCAAAATGTTCTGATTTAGCTCAAGATAGGCAAAGTAATAATCGAGAAATAAGCTTTTGAATATTTTAATTGTAAATACATTGAATATTTGAAATTCTGATGTCTTCACAACCAAACTATATTCAACTTTTACTACATACGACTGACTATAGTACCTAAAACAACATTCTGTACAAAGGGTAATCGCACAGAAATTCCTGAAATTATGTTCTTTCACAGACATAATAAGCATTCATTAGAAACTGACAAAATCAAACGAAATCAGGATTCAATTTTCCGATGAAACGTAACACGCAATCTTAATCTGCAAGCTTAATCTAAGTATCGATATTCTAAAACCGGCCAGCCCTAACCACAAATTGATAGGCTGCGCTAGAGTAGAGTTATTACCGGTAATTGAATGCTCACGAGTGGGAAAGTGTTGGGCGCGAGAGCGGGCCGGTTTTCCGTAATTATTTTCGTACGGCAAAATCATGTGATCAGCGGCGATCGGGCTCATCGGATCGACCCGTCGGACCGAATATTAGCGTCGCTAACGGCGCGCTCGCACCTCGTTATGGCCGACGATCTCGCAACGAGGCATTAAATTTAATACAACGTGTGATTTAACACCGCCAATGTCAAAGGCTAACAGACGTGGCGGATTTTTACGAGGATGTAACCACATGATAGTGTAACCTGTACCGGTCCACGGGTGCCAATCCTTAGGACCGCGTAGCATGTGCTCAATGATACTTTACTAATTTTACTAATGGTTGTAGTATTAAAAAACAGGCCAAGTGCGTGTCGGACTCGCGCACAAAGGGTTCCGTGCCATTGTCTAAAGACAAAAATCATATCTGTTGTAAGGGAGCCCCACTTAAATATTTTTATTCCGTTTTTTGGTATATTTGTTGTTATAGCGGCAACAGAAATACGTCATCTCTGAAAATTTCAACTGTCTAACTGTTACGGTTCATGAGATACAGCCTGGTGACAGACAGACAAACAGACAGACAGCGGATTCTTAGTAATAGGATCCCGTTTTACCCTTCGGGTACGGAATTTTAAAAATCAAGTGAAGAAGTGCGAAATTAATGCACAACTCATGCACTACGCGTGCACATAATTATGATGTAACCTTTCTCAAGTCGTATAAGAGCTTTGGTAAAAACCATTGCTATAACTAGGACTGCTGAGTCGTAATAAAAACAGACAGTTTCTTTTGTATTAAAAATTAAACTAATCGAAATATGACAAAAATGGCAACATCGTCCTCATTAGCCATGCATCAACAACTTTTTTTTTGTGAAAAGTTGGCAAACGAGCAGGCGGTTCGCCTGATGTTAAGAGACTACCGTCGATCACGGACATCTACAACGCTTGCGGGGTTGCAGGCGTGTTGCGTCCCTTTACAAGTCCGTCCCGTTTACCTCACTCACCAGACGAAACGACGGTCGTCTTTGGGAGCTTGATACTTCTGTGTACGAGCCTGCCCATTCTTGCATCAGCATGAACCTGAAGAGGAAAACCTCTTTTGTTTGTATACAACAATAAGTCAAAACAGGAGATGGATAACTTGGAAAGAACTGAATCTAGACTATGGAGTCTATAATGCATAGTCAATCTAAATAAAATCTATCGCCAAGGAGAGTGATCAACCTATGTACAAAAAATATGTTTATTTCCTTTAACTAATACACTTATGTAAGTCACAAAATGCCTTCTTTATGTTGCGAAAAACGAAAGTCTCCGACTAAACTCCCATTTCTTGTACTATAATAATAATTTCAATATGCTTTTTAACAACACAATTTCAATTTGAAAAATTATTGTAATTCACTGATCCCTACGACAGTTGCAAATTGCCCAAACAAAAACGGGCATTAACAAATAATCACTTATTCAACATACAAGCACGTTTCAGTGTCGTCTCGTTCAGTGACGATACAGTGGATGTATCTATAAAGAGTATTTACGGTCACATGAACGTCCATTCAGCGGTCAATCAAAACACCATAAGCCGCGTCGCTTGTATTAAGCAGCGATCCCGGTGCAAACGGCGAGCCGTGTCAAACCTACAACCGTACCAATGTATGCAATTGAAATGCTCATTTTAATAAAGAACACACCCACACTGGCCGAAAGTGGTTAACAAGATACAGCGAGTGGCAAACTTAGTGACGTGCGGTTACATTTAGTTGTAGTGTTGAGCCAAGATAATGTCAGCGAGCTACGTGAGCCGAATCCGAACTACAAAACCTGATTAGAAATAGACATAAAATACGTAGATTCTATTGTATTTTTTGTATCCCGTAAAGTAAGCACACTAATGGCCGCCAGACATTGCTAAAATGCGATAAAAAAGGTAAATAATACTTCGAGATTATGCGTGAGGATACCGACCGCTTAGCTTAGTGATTAGAGCGTCTGGTTATCCGTTATCGTATGTGTTTACAGAAGCGAAGTTCGAATCCTTTCAGCGGCGAAAAATTATCTACAATTTTATAAGTTTCTTATTAAGTGCGGACACTAAAAACAAGATTATAAATTACAATGTAGGATGTACTCTAGGTATGTACACTGCCCCTTAAAAGCACAATATTTTATACTATATTGGCGATATACGACAAAATATGTAAATTAATAAAAATTCACAGATTAACTTCAAATTTTTAGACATACAGCATGTAGTCCGCTTCTTTTTCCAGACACTAGTATGACCTCAAGCCAATCACAAATAGAAAACTCTAGCGGAACATAGTTCAATCATCGCATGCAAACATCCCTACGGCCGGTGCACTTGAAAATTACAAATGCCCGCAATCAACGCTTTTATTGTATCCAATTAATAACTCGGACGCACGTGCTACTAGCCGGGCAACGAGACGCGCTTGTCGCACGTTTCTGCACTGATTGCTCGAATAAATCACGGAATCACTTAACGCGTGAGTTCCAACTTGGTCCGCGGAGCGTATGACAACGAAAAATAAATGTTTCGCATTAGCGACGTCTGTCAGATTCGCGATGCTAATAAATGTGCTATTCTAATTTCACGATGCGCTTCATTTCTATGCAACTATTTCGTTATCATGCAGATACAGATCGTATTAACTGCTGTTTCACGAAGGGTCCGTCCAGGTAAGTACACGAGCTCACAGAAGGTTGGCGTATAGAAGTGTGTTTATACTTCTGCGTTTCGTCTGGTCGAGGTATCCGCCAATTGTTTATTATAAATTATTATTTAAAAATTATTATAAATTCCGATTAGAAGGTACGCGTCTTCAATGCAAGAGTGAATAGCTTTTTACTGAGCTAGTGCGCTTACCAACAAAGGCTGCATCGCCACCTACCATCAGGTGGGATGGCAGTCAAGTGCTGGCCAGTTTGAAAAAAAAAAAAGTTGGCAACGGGTGTTGACAATGTCCAGTGGGTGTCGTTCATTGTTTAATTGTAATAATTATTGGTGTTAATGCTTAATACCAGATCACGTTGTTTTTACGCTGGTAGGGCCACGCAGTAGCCTCGGCTGTTGCACGAATGGGCAAGCTCGTCCAGTTAAGTACCACGACCTCACAGAAGACCGGCGTAAAGTGAAAGTTTATTCCGTGAATGGACTGATTGTAACACCAATACAAAATTTGATACAAAAATTCATAGAACATAACTGAGAAAATCATTAAACACCAAACTAATTTTACATCATACACTAATATATAATACACAACAGTTCGATAACTTCTACTCTCACAAAACTTCCATTTCGCAAAAAGTGGAGCAACTGAAGATTTTGAGGCACAATCAAGAAAGAGCAGAATAGCAAACTTTCATAAAGCTTTCTGTGCATAAAGGAAAGCAGGGAACGGGACCACCAAATGAATTAAAACCGGAGTAAAACGCTTTGAATGCAGTTACATAGTACTAAATAATGGTACCAATAGACGGTTGGAGCGTTTCATAAATCATATCGGAAATCGGACCTATGCGTACATTCCTGTTGCAGCGGCCCTCGTGAATAAATGAACTTGTATAAGCGAAATATTTAATCAGTTCCTCGTATTATTTTAGCGACTAGGTTTAGGTTATATTCTGCTGTTTGTAATGTGTGCTTGCAAGATATGTCTGGAAAGTATTTAATAGCAATAACTCAAGGAAGCATTCAAGGACTCAAGGATGAATATAAAAACAACTTTACATGCAAGATGTTTATTACTAAGAGATTATTGCGTAGAAATATTTTGCACTATAATGCAAAGCTAATATTTTGAAATAAGTCTTAAGGTACCTTACTTAAGTGGTACATCAGTCATGCAACTGTGAATTGGAAAAAAGATTGAGTAAATTTCATATTCAGATCCGGACTATGGCGATGTGTGTGCCCAATATTTCCTCTTATCTCAACATTTCTTTAGGTATCTAACAACACTACATACTCGTATTGTCCGCCAACTAAAATTATGACTAAGTGACTCCCTTTAATACTGGTAATAGCTTTCTCCATCTATTTAAGGGCTCACAATTGAGATTTTTATATTTTAAGCTTTAAGCTAAGCTTTATAACAGATATCTCAAAACATCATGGACACAGCCCCAGCATAGCAATCAATGGGAAAATAACTCCGCCAACTGCGACCTTCCTTTGTCTTTAAATGCGGGCATTATTCAGTTAATCGTATGCAAGATAGTTACAAGTCTTGTACTATTAAATCGCATTTGCCATTTACAGCCGAGCCGGGCCCGGCTATTTGCTCAATCCAGAGGGCCGATGCTGTGTTACCCGCGGTATCTCTTGATGAAGTTAAGAAGGGCTGCCGCTAATGAGGCTTATCGACTGGTGCCGCGATGACACGAGCGATGGCTGCGTATAGAGCCTAAACACGCCTTGTTAGCGGATGGCCCGCCGGACCGCTATGAAGGGGTCCAATTCTGAGAATTGCGAACCGCCTTCTTACCACCAACGATCGCCTCATTGCCCCTGTTTAAACTGTTACCTCAATTGCACTTTCGGAATATTAAAAAGCGAACTTCGTTTACGTGAATGCTAATCGTTGGACTCGTCGTTGCGTAGCGATTAGCCCTAATTATTTCGGCCATGGTTCCGACAAAACATTCAATACATAGCAAATTAAATAGTTCGAAATTGTTTGAGTAAATTAACAGCCTATACATATCCAACTGCTGGGCAAAGGCCTCCTCTGTACAGAGAGTATTAGGGCATAGTCCACCACGCGGCCCCAGTGCAGATTGATGGACTTCATATACAACCGGTTTTTTTTTTTTTTGACGTTCAATAAGAGCTTAAAATAAGCCTATGTAGAATAAACAAATTTTGACTTTGACTTTGATATAGACCGTATGATACGGAAATAGATAGCAGTCTGTAGAATTGTAATCTAATTACACGAATTGGTGGTATTTGAGTGCCTCAGTTTCGGTGCGCTAGTGTCATATCTATCTCGTATTTTTATTGAGTTTTCTTCACGATGTTTTCTATCACCACTGAGAAATTGCTAAGTCAGCACTTAAAATTAAATTGATTTCATTGGTACCAGGGATTGAACTCAGGTTGCTCGAGTAGGTATAATAAACTAAAGGCGAGCGCCCGGACACTGAGCTATCACGGCTCTTGGATGTTGCTTATAAAATATATCTCAACAAATTGCAAATAATGATCAAAATGGACTCCTTTTCACTTTTATTAATAATATTATCTACAATAATCTATTTACGCATAATATATTTATTATATGAAGGTTCATTTATATTTTTTTAATAAATCAATAAATTTTAAGTCCTTTTCTATACGCGCTAAAGATTTTAATGCACTGCTATAAATTACATATAACATAAAAATTACATTAAGGATAATATTAAATTATCATACAACAAGGACATTAGTACATTGTCATATTTTGTAATATCTATACAGATTATCGAAAATGGGATACATAATAGAAGATAAATTAGAATATTGTTTACCAAAAGCCTCCACACCAAAATTAATTCACCGCGAAGACTTGACTATTGACTAGCGGAAGTCAGTTTCACTCCCAAATCCCGCATCTCACCTTAAAAGTAGGATTATAATTACAGAAACTCATAAAATAGAGTAGGTCTTTTAAAACAACTGTATCAATCATTTACGCCATTTTTATCTGAAAAGTTGCAAGCGGTTCACCTGATGTTACCGCTTACAGACCTCAGCAACACCTGACGGGCTGTAACACAGTAAAAAGCACGTCTAGAAATAAAACATTGCTTCTCACGAGTCTTGATCGTCAGTGACAAGGCGATCTTTTAATAAATAATTCAATTCCTCTTCATCTGAAACTTTGCCGATCTTAAGATTCTTGCAAGCTAAGTATATGACCCGACAGCAACTGAACAGTACAAGCCCACTCATACTTAGTAGTGCGGCCCACAAAACTGAATCATACACTTCACAGTGTTTGTACGCGCTTACATGTTTATTCTTAAGCAGCTTTCGCCTACGGCCGGCTTTGTTGCTTCCGTTGTCGTCAAAGGCGTAATTAAGTAGAGTCTTATTTATGTCTTCGGCCAAATTGTGGAATACCATGACAGAGAGTCGCCTAGCTAACTCCGACTTCCCCAGTTGGCGTAGCCGCCTCGCGACTATTCCGTGCGACTTACCCCGACCCTGCCACTTCTCTCGACCGCCGTTCCAGCTAATCAGCAGGTCGTAGCACGAAATACTCGAAGGTATTCTCTCCTCGGCCTCCGCCAACACGCTAGGCAGGTCATCCGACACGAAATACAATGAAGCGACCAGCTTGCGGCATTCGTAGGCGGTCAGTTGATCGACGATGTATTCGAACACCCGAGCAGACATATCAATGGTTCCTATTACACGACTCCAACCGAATATAGCGGGGAAAAGTGACAAGATCACTCTCATTTTCCGTCGCAATTCACGTGAAGTGATATGCACTTTCGTTTACGAATAACCGGCATCACGCTCGCGGAGCAAACACGGCCCGTAAAAAACTGGACAGCCGGCAATAAATATATCGAGATAGTAGTGAAAAATCAACATTATCACCCACCACAGAACTCTTCAAGGTTAAGGTGACATCAAAAAATTGCGATAGATCTTTTTTATTGGTGAATACATTTTTATTACTCGCCAGTACTAATGTATCGTACATTGAATAATTGAAAGGAGATTGATTGCAACTCATTGTTATAGACAGGTATTTTACATTGAATTGTAAATTTAAGCCATTTATTAAATTATAACCGATACATTCATATTGAAAACTGACGTGTTTTTCGCATATAAAATAGATGATAATTAAACTGTGTCTGGAAAACATTAGTTTAAATTTATTTTGGAACTAAAATCTAAGTAGAAATTTTTAAAAACGTCACTTTTGTATATTTTGCCAAGAATACAGTCAGGTAGCTCGAACCCCTTTTAAAATTGATTCTTTCGTAGGTTATACTTACGCTTAAATCTAAAATGGGAGTTTAATTTAAATAATTTTAGGATTATTGTTATTTTTAGTGCTAGTCTTATTTCTATGTAATGGAATATAAATATAGTTTAAAGTATAATTATTTATTTACATTTACACATATGTATTTACATACATTTATTAATATACACATATGTATGTACATATATATATATATATATTTATGTTTATTTTATGTAATGTTTATGTATTGAAATTTATATGTATTTAATAATTATATGTAAAGTATTTATGTTTGAGTAAAGTATATTTCTATAGAATGTACCTTTGCTTTTCTTGTTTTCTTTTATTTATTTTTCTTTAATTTATTTCACGTATTTTGTTTTGGACCTGCGTCAAACACTCTCTACTCCCAGAGTTGACTGGAAGAGAATGCTATGTATAATAATATATTTTAAAATAACGTTTAACATTTCTTCAGTATACTTAACCGAAAAAAAATCTATATGTAATACAATTAAAACTATAGCATCTTATAAGAATCAATAGTCGTATATATATGAAATGAAATTCTTTTATTTCAACTTGTAAATGAAGCTACTAAAATGTGAATTTCCTGCATACAAGAAATGTGACATAACTACAATCCATATAGCAACATAATTATTTAAATTTAAGATCTTTCGCCGTCATCAATTACATACGTAAATTACAATGAAACATTACGGCGTACCGTCACCAAATCAATCGATCACACGTACATTTCTAAAATACGTGGACGCTTCGCATTCGCTGTCGAGGGCGCAGGGAAATTTGAACCTTATTACGCAATGACTGAGTGCTATATAGTGCAATCACCACGAGAATAATCTGTAATTGTACGGCACATGAGTCTAATCGTAGCACATTCCAACATACAAAACAACACAAACGATGAGTATCGTTATACAATGACAAAAGAAACTTATGCAACTGCTTAAAATGCCTGTACGTACGGTTAGAAAAAAAGAATTTTCATTTATATTGTCTCTAAGAATTCCATAAAAATATTTTACATTAAAAAGCTGTGATATATCAAAGTTTCAAAATATTTTACTTTAAAGTGAAGTTTGCAATCCTATGTGATACATTACACTTGTAATGTTTAAACAATTCGATATAAGGTTTAAAATGAGTAGATAACACTTGTCCATGTTAATTACATGGACAAGTACTGATGTACAAGTGCATGTAAATGGAAAATTTATAATCTGTGCTGTTTTTGTGGAAGACAGTAGTAAGTGGTTGTGTAGTAATATGTTATTTTACTATGCAAAGTGACGGATTATACATCTTATATATGTCAAATACTCGTCTTCGTATGTACGTCTGAATAATCTCGTCAAGCTATCTTTTTTGTGCGCTCCGTAAAAATATTATATGGATATGCTCCAAATAGTTGTGCCAACGGTACTCCCGTCAGTCGCAACGGGCTAACCTTATTGCATACAACAATAATGGTCCGATCATTTCTCGGCGGCAAGACATGCCTCGCAATACCAACTGTGTAACGGTGAGCGAATACATCTTACACGGCACGAGATATGTTTAAAAAGAGTAGTTAACACAGTCGTTTTATTCAATAAAAATCAATCAATTTCAAATCCCATGTTTAAAAGTCAAATGTAGGTATGTAATAATAAAGCGGTATTAACAGCAGTAAAAATTGCTTCAGATACTACGAGATTACATGTAAAGTGGCTGTGAAAAGAGAAGATACAATAACAGATGACGTTGTAAAAATTTGGACCTGAAATAAAAACTCCATTAGGACGCTGTTAAACATAACACAAATTTCACTATCGTACCACGAAGAGTGAACGTGCCATTTTGCATTTTACGCGCGGCCGCAAAGAATGAAATTCGCTTGATGGATAAGCACGCGTGTAACTCGAAAGCAAATGTAAATACGAAAAGGTTGAGAGTGGTGTATTAACTTCGCATTGAGAGCCATCGATCTTTTTATAGCGCATAATGGAGCATCGCCGCTTTGTTAAATTGAAGACATTGTAAGGCGCGTGTTGAAATCAAAATACACTTAATACTCTGTATAGAAAGACTCCATGGTTAAACATAGTGACAATGACTCGAAAGAGTGTTAAGCTTATAATCTAGTGGACAGTGTTTGTCTACTATCTCGTGGAAAATAGGATCATTGTAATATAGGCAATAAGATGACCTATATTAATAGGTTATCATTTTTTTTGGTACAACACTAAAACGCAAAGCCTGTGCGCCATTTGTTTCGAACATTAATAACATCGCGACGTGTCAGATTTTAGCTTAGTAGTGACGCGTCCCCAAATCTCAGCGCTTTATCTTTGTTCTGAACCCAATTTAGAATCTATCCCAAACTATTGTCGCTTTTACATCCCGCGTAACTTCCCGTGATAAAGTTACAATAAAAATTAAAATATTCTTCAATTAAGATTAAAATTGTATCATAATTGTTTGAAGATTGCGATTGGTAAATGAACGTTAAATACCAACTACGACGACGTGATAAACATGCATCCTATTGAAGCAACGGCAAAGCCGCCGCCGTGACACTGTTCCGTAGCCGCCCTTAACAACTTACAAAACTTCGATTGTTCGTATCAGCACGAAAACATTACCCAACGCCGACCGACAGCCTTCCACATCGGCCTTCGTAATTAAAGAAGACGAATCACAATTACCGTAGTTTATAGACGCCTCTAATTATATGTATTTGATGTTTTCTATACGCTCTGTGACGAAATGCGGCTCATTGGTGTGGTCATTATTGGAATTAATACGGCTACGTGTCAGTTCGAGAGGTTCCGTGATGAACGTTAGAGAATTTTTGTGCCGCTCGTGAGAACACGACCAAATGATATGTCCCTGTGCGTTTTACCGAATAGGTTAATGTTTCAGGTACTATTGAAACGCAACGAGTTATTGATATGGGGCCTAATAAGTGTAACTGCGCCTTTGTATTTGCTAATGATAGGCTTAATGTTGCCTTTTTCTATTCGTTTGCTTCACGGCACGTGAATTAACCTTCGTATTGATGAGCATCTCGCTGCAATACAATACACTAATGATACTAATCATTTAGTTATGAGAGTTAAAAGTGTGGAGAACAGTCATTTGTTTAAACCTCTCTTCTCCTCTTTTCGGGTGTAATAAAGTTAAAACTTACATTATATGCCTTATACTTTGTACCATTTAGACTTATGTATTATAGTATCATAACAGCAAAAAACATACGAAACACAAATGACACTTATCTATAAATGTTAATTCCACTTCCCTGAAAAAACTATATTACAAGTCTTTATTTAGTTTCGCATTAAACAACGTTGTGTAAAAATACATCCAGTACTCTTAATTATTGTTATGTTATTAATTAAAGGTGGGTGTTGCAAATATCCATAGGTAGTATTTATCACTAAACATCAGGTGAAACACCAGCTCGCGTGCCACCTTATAACATAAAAAAATATAAAATATAAATATATATTTATGTGTGTGTAATATTCAATATTAAAATAAGAAATTAAAATATTGCAGTGCCATAAAAATTATTTACTAGGATTTAAACTTTGGATATACGAGATTCACGTCAAGAATCAAATCCTATTACGCTATGAAATTAATTACTTAAGCCGCCTTACAAGATGTTACTCGACTAAAGTCGCATCTCTAAATAAGATATTTTTCGAAGTAGAAATCGCATTAAAAAAGCAATTAATCTGCTCGCAGCTTGTTATAAAATTATCGACCTATGAACCATTTCTGAGCAATGCTTCGTGATTTCGTTTGGCACAAAATTGTTTTTAACCACAAGTTGCTGCAAACATCAATCAAAGTAGAAAGTTTAATTGGTTAGCTAACACCCGATGCAATTAGATACAAAAACCTCTTTTCGCTGTGAGGAGCTTACTGTGAAGGTGTTAAGGTTATTCAATTATAAAAAAGAATAAGGAAGCTCGATCTTAATAAAGTGAGGTCATAAAAATGCAATATAATTTTTATTGAGTTTTAATTCACTATACTCTTTAGAATCGTTAAGTTGTATGTTTAAAATTATCGAAGTATTACTTCTATTTAAACAAAAATTGAATGGCCAGTTTTGTAGTAAATTCTTTGGTTAGGGCATTTATGCCCGTTTTCACCATTGTATCCCACCTCAAACGTTCCCTTACTAAGGGTGCCCAAACCTAAAGGATTACATCATCAGTCCACCAACAAAATTCATTTTCACCAAATTAGGGGCACCACTTAAGACTAAAGTATTAAGAATAAGGGTTCCGCTCCTCAAAGGTGACCATTAAGCGGTGGTGAAAACGATACTAGCATTAAAATTTTCGGGGGGTCCCAAAAGTTACGGATAAATTTATGGATCGATGCTTTCGTCAGATACAACAGGCAAAGTCCATATAAATTGTGAACGAAAATACTATTTCTCGCTCCAATC